CGATCGATTTGATTTCCAAAAAGTAGAATTTCCCAAAGAAGGAGAGAATATTTTAGAATTTAGGGATTTCCACAAAAGTATGCGAGTTGGATTTACAATCTATGCTGATTTCGAAGCTCTGGCTCGAAAATTGATACTTGTTTACCCAATCCAAACACATCGTCTACAACTCATCAAACAAAATTCGACGCTTGTGGATATGCATATCAAGTTATATGTACGAATAACAATTACACAAAAACCCCTGTCGTTTTTAGAGGTGACAATACAGTAGAACACTTTTTCGAAAGCATGTTTAAGGAAGAAGAGTACATTCAGAGCATCTATGGTGATATTGAACCACTAATTATGACTGATGAGACGGAAAATCTATTTAAAAAGACCACCAATTGTTATATGTGTAACCGCATGTTTACTGATAACTTAATCAAAGTGAGAGACCATTCACACATTGGTGTCTCTGGTGATAAAAATTCAACCAACTATAGCAACTATCGAGGAGCAGCCTGTCAGTCCTGCAATCTGAATTTACACAATCCTACATTCATCCCAATATTGTTCCATAACTTCAAAGGATTTGACTCTCATTTATTGGTAGAGGCTGCGGGTAAATACAAAGACCGGAAAATCGTGTGTATTCCCAACAACATGGAAAAGTACATTTCGTTTTCTGTAGGAAAGTTGAGATTTCTTGATTCATATCAATTTATGTCTGAAAGTCTAGAGAGATTGGTGGGAAATTTAGCCGTTGATGGACTGACACATTTTCATCAGTTCCGAAAAGTATTCCCATCGGAGGGTGTGGCAAAACTACTACTAAGGAAAAATGTCTACTGCTACGACTACGTTGACAGTCATGACAAATTTGAGGAGGTTACTTTACCATCAAAAGAGGCCTTTTACAATTCCATCAAACTACAACACATCTCTGATGAGGATTACTTGCATGCCCAAACTGTGTGGACAACCTTAAATATGAAAACGTTGGATGAATATCATGATCTTTACCTGTTAACAGACGTTTTGCTGTTAATCGATGTTTTTGAAAGATTCAGAACTATGACTGGAATATTATGGACTTGATGCCTGTCATTTTTACACGGCACCTGGACTCGCTTGGCAAGCAGCCTTGAAAATGAGTAAGATAAGTTTGGAACTTTTAACATCTCCAGACATGTACAATTTCTTCGAACTAGGGTGTCGAGGGGGAATTAGCATGATAACCCAAAAACATGCTAGGGCTAATAACAAGTATGTCGAAGGATACGATCCTACTAGTCCTAGCTCTTATCTAATGTATTTTGATGCAAATAATTTATATGGTTGGGCTATGTCCCAACCGCTTCCTTCTGGATTGATGAGGTGGCTAGACGAGGATGAAATCAAATACTTCGACTTACACAAGCTATCAGTCGATAGTGATAAGGGATATATGTTGGAGGTTGACTTGGAATATCCTAAAGAACTACATGAAAGTCACAATTCCTATCCACCAGCTCCCTCACATAAAACTGTTGATGACGATGAACTTTCTCCATACAGTAAAGGGTTATACAACGATTTATATGATGGACAAAGAAAACGACCTAAAACCAAAAAACTGATACCAACACTCGAAAATAAGATCAACTATATAGTTCATTACAGAAATCTTCAACTGTATACCGAATTGGGAATGAAAATCACTAAAGTACATCGTATAATGGAATTCCATCAGTCTCCTTGGCTAGCCAAATACATTTCGTTCAACACCAGGAAAAGACAGCAATCCAAGAGCGATTTTGAGAAGAATTTCTTTAAACTGATGTGCAACTCTGTATTTGGTAAAACCATGGAAAATTTAAGAAATAGGGTTGACATTAAACTAATTCACAACGAAGACTCGCTAAGGACATACACTTGCAGACCATCATTTGAACGATTTCAAATTTTTAACGAGGATTTGGTTGGTGTGGAAAATAAAAAGACAAGCTTACTCCTGAATAAACCAGTTTATGTTGGGGCAGCTATTTTAGAATTATCTAAAATCGTCATGTATGACTTTCACTACAAGGTCATGAAATCAAAATATGGTGACAATCTCCATCTTTTATTTCTGATACAGACTCTTTGATGTATGAAATTTTCACAAAGGACATCTATGAAGACATGATGGAATTTCATGACTATTTCGATACCTCGGGATATGATTCAAAGCATCCACTCTACTCATCTGTCAACAAAAAAGTTGTCGGGAAAAAGAAAGACGAATTATCGGGTAAGTTATTTTTTCCATTTATAATACTTCTGCTCTAGAAATGTATGAATTTCATAAACATTTTATCGCTTTTTTGTTGTTTTGAATTAATCAATTTCAATTTCTTTTTCAGGTGTTCCAATCAAAGAATTTATTGGTTTGAGACCCAAGATGTATTCTTTGGTTTATGACGTAGGAGATGACTGTAGAGAAAAGAGAACGGCTAAAGGAATTGCTTAATGTGCTGTCGAGAAGCAAATTCGTCACTGACATTATAAGCAGTGCTTGTTTCACAACCGAATGACTTTAAATGATATGAATTTGATTCGTAGTGACAATCATATTTTGTTTATAAACAAAGTTCGAAAAACTGGACTGTGCAATTTCGATGACAAACGTTTTTGGAAAAATTTAGTACAAAGTTATGCTTATGGACATTATACAATTCCATTTGTACAAAAGTGTTGAAATGTGTACTGTTGACATGTATGAAAATAATAAATTATATATATATTGAATTTGGTTTATTTCTACTATAAAGAACTAATGTGAAACGAACTATCAAATAGTCAATAAAATGTCACATTAATTGGTTGAAAAATTCCATGGGATCGAAGTTTTCTTCCCCTTTTGGTTTTTTGCTAGGTAGTCCACAACGTGGTAACGTGCTGGGTCTCTTGTTGTTAGACGATCCAAGGACTCTAATGGGTTGTGCAGCATAAGGAGGTGGCGGTGGCATAAGCTCTTGAAGGGTTGGTTGTTGGGGTTGTTGCATTTGAGGTGGCTGAGGCTGTTGTTCCTTAAAAAAAATTTGTTTGCAATTACTCAAAATGTGAGGGTGTTTGAATGGTTGTATAAATGCAAACACAAATAAAAAGTAACACAACAATTAACCTAAAAAAAAAAACACCGATCGATTTAATTAATAAAAAAAACTTACCTCAAATTGTTTGAAAAGCTGCTCCAAGCCTTCCTTCATATTGGTCAACTCCAAAAACTCATCCCAACCAAGAGAACATCTTCCTGGATTCCTCGGATTATTGTTATATAAGTTCACATAGTAAAAGTCATTCACCTTTGTTAAGACTACCGCCATGTGACGTCCAAAATTGGTGCGCATCTCCATATTTCCCCTGATACTTTGTTTTTTGGTAAAAGCGTAACTTTCCATAATTATAAAACGTTTATTTTAAGAAAACTGTACGACAAATTATATCAGAATGATGTTGGAATAGGAGATCCACTTATTTATAATATCAAGTGAGTGCTACAATGAGTGGGTGTTAGACACTCCCCTTATCTGAAATAGACATCCATTTGGTGAAAAGTCTCTATAACTGCAGTAAAGCGGTCGAGAAAAACACTCCTCTCATTATTCAACCAATGAAAAAAACTCTCTGTTTAGTCTCTTTCAAGTTTGTTGACTCAACTTTCTCACATTTGTTTTTTAATTACCCACAGATGGTTAAGTATGTTTTTTTCAATGGCAGATGTTTGGTTAATTACCACACTTCAACTTCAAAACCATAATTTACTAAAGAAAGTCGTGCTGATGGGAAAAACTGCATTAGCAAACTCTCATGTGGTTGATCAAATGTTCTCACACCATGCTATTAAGCCGAATACAGTACATGAAAGGAAGTCATGGTGGTGAGAAAATAAACGATTGAAAAAGAACGAGTTAAACATGTGTTGTTTTGATTTGCTCGTGCATGTTGAACTAATCTACGCTTCAGCGTCAAACATAATTAAAATTATCAAAAATCACAAAACTCGTTGAGTATGCAATACTTCCAGTTTTCTATTATAAAACATTGATCGCCATATTTATTTTTCAGCTTTGTCAAATCTTCCTTGCTTGTTTTTATCAAGAATAAATAAACATCTGAAGTTTTGTCTATAAATGTAAAGTAATAGTGCATTTGTAATAAATTCATCCTGTCTTCACTCCGACCCGAACTGTAGAATTTGAATTGTGTAAAATTCTGCTTGCTTATGTCTTGGTAGTAAGGTAGTCTATAAATGAATTTCTAAGTGTTTAGTCTTAAGAATATATCTTCTTTCTCTTTAAAGTAAAGCATATACAGTAGGGGACATTCCCAATGTAAAAACTCTCAATTACGGCTTACTCATAAAACTTATAAACCTCCATTTTAGAATACCTGCTTATATGTCATTTTTTGGTTTGTATTATTGATTAACTTTGTTTGTTGGTTGTGATTTGAAAATCGTATAAAACCACAAATAATTCAATGACTGCATACTATCGGTACTATCAGTGCTTTGATTTTATAAATATCTATTTATAGTGAGTTCATTATCTAAAACAATACTGTCAAAGAACAAATCGATAGATTTTGTGAGTTTTATGTATGTTTTTATTATATTTTATACGATTCTATTCGTTTGTATTAATTTCTATAATTTGTACAAGGGAAATAACTAAGTCAATCATAAATACTATTTGATGCATGAATAACAAGAGTTATCGCTCTCTAAACAGATAAAATTATCAAACGTTGAAAATAATGTAGTGTGATAAAAACAAGTCCTGAAAGTGGGTTTAAATAGGTTGAACTTTTAATCATGCTTTATCAAAATAATTTAAAGCTTGCATGAAACGTTGAAACTACTGAAATAGATAGAAGCTGCTTATTGAAATATTTTTAAATTTTTAAAAATTCGCTATTACATGGGAGAAAACTCTGTTATGTATATACCCTTCGGAAGTTTACAATAGTCGTTATTGTTTAATATCTCCAGAGAAGTACGAAATCTTCCCGCCTTGGAAAGCGTCGGTCAACAAAAATGGAAAAGGTTAAAAGTGTTTTATTGTGTTTGGTATCTTTGGTATATTGTGATGTACTTGACATAAAGAATGTGTGCAAGTTGGAACAAAATTTAAATTTTATTCCTAAGGGTTATTCGTGCACATTTGTTGGAGGGAACGTGTATGTTTACCAAGGCAAGCCCTCGATTGGAACAATATATTTTGATACATTTAATGCCGATTCTACATTGATTATTTTGGGAGTTAAAACAGTTGTGATAAAGCGTGGTTCTATGGATACATGTCATCAACTTGTGACTAGAAATCCTGAAGCTAGTATCAACATATACGGACAAAATTGTGAATATGTAACTGTCAGTACATGCATGTAAATTAGATAAAACTCAAAACATTAGAAAGATAAGAACAACATCCGTGTAAATTAGTGTGAAATCTCACTGTCCGACACTGGTGACTTCAAGATAAAGAACAACAAAAGCATTGTACCATTACTTAGAACATTTCATGTACATTTAGTCCTCGGTCTGCTTCAGTTTATTATGAAAATAGGTATGAGGGAATTGTTTGGTTTTTTTTTTATTGGTTCATGTGTTGTATTTCTTGACATCTTTGACTTTGTCCTTGTGTTTCCCATTTTGCCCTGGCTTTGCGCTCTTACATGCTTTATCTGTTTATAGGGGATTACCTCTTATATTAGTCGAAGTACAACTGGAAGTGATCAAGGAGTTTACTGAACGCAATTTGACTTACATTTGTATCTAGAAGAGGTAATCCGCTATAAAGATGGGTAAAACCCGAGGAATTCACAAATCTGATAAAAAGTCAGAAATCCACATACATTGTACAGGGTCTGAGGTTTACTGCAGTAAGTTTTTAAACAATCTTCACCATAAAAAGATTAAACTGAACCTTTCCAATAAAATACCTTTTAACTTACATTTAAAGGGTTTAGAACATTTTTGTATGTGTATAAATTTGACTTTTGTTAAATAAGTCTAAATTGAAACAAACGTCCACACCTACACAAGTGTTGGATAAAAATCACACTGCGTGTGCATGTTAAACAAACTGATTGGTGAACGGGTCTAGATACATGTACAGTACAAACAACTTCCCAAAAGATAAACAAAGGTGAACTTCTTCCAGACAACACTCTTTGACCAACAGTATTGACAACCTATGCCATACACCTAAACATGAAAATAGTGTTGAAAGTGCAAGACATCAACTCCCTTTACAAAAAGATCGAAATAAATGCAATTTTATATAATTTAAAAGGCTAAAATACAAATTCATGACACTGTATTAATTATAATCCCTTGAAGACTCTACACTTTGTAACAAAGGAAGTTGATCTCTTACGCATTCAACATTATTTTTTCTTTAGGTGTATTTTTTTTTTACGTTTGTTCATTCATAATCTGAATAAAAATGAAGAATGAGTTAAATTGAATATTTTATTTTGTTTATATAATTGTAGGGGATCAGTTCATCTTCAACAACTGTGGTCCATACACCCAAGACGAAAGTCAAACAAACATCAAGCATGTCAAGCTTAAGTGGCATCCCTGAACCCATGGTAAGTGCTCCATACACATACATCTGAAATAAAAACGTATACAGTAGGTTTGTATTTTTACAAATGCAGTTAGACAGTTAGTTTAGGCAGAGACATATATACATGTATACACATATATTTTTAGGAAATAAAAAATGAAAATGATTCAATGGCTGTCAGGAAAAAGTTTTTACTTTGAAGATCACCCTTTTCTATAAATGATCAATACACAGCTAAATCCTGTTTTAGACCATAGATTCCGAAAGAATGTATATTGTACATACATGAAATTTACATTCCAACTCTACAAAATGATCTATATGGAAAATGTTGTGTTTTATAAATATATACCTCATTTATGATTGATCAACATCTGACTCTATCTCTTGTCTTGAATAGGCATCTGTACTTGGTGATGGCACTGGTTAATCATGTGGAACATGCGATTGACCTCCTTTATCAACTAATACTGCCTGTGACATTACTATGGTCTTGTTTACCTTCTCTCTGTAATTTTATATAAAAAAATAAATATCTTTTATTTACCTTGTATATTTCAGTAGGGATAGATACAAATGTATCTTACATATTTTAAAATTAAAATTTCTTTACAGACAACTCAATCGATACTCAGTACGATTAGATCGGAAGAGTCAGAAGAACAGTATCATGAGTACACCTGGATGTATTCAACAGTGAGTCTTATCATAGGTAAATATATATGCATACAAAAATGTATGTCTTGTTAATTATTAAGTAAAAAAAAAACTGGTGTGTGTAAAAATTGATTGAATAATGGTTTAACAAAATCAGCTAAATGTGATATCCAGCTTTAATGGTATACTAAGTACATTTACATAAACATGTATTCGGAAAATAACCAGTGGTCACGAACAGGTAACAGACTAGTCATTTAATGTAGTATGAAAGTGAGCATGACAAGTTCACAATATTAGTGATAAGGCTAAATGCATTTATATATAAGCTTACCATAACTTTTTATTGACATGGCATTGTTCTGTATATATAAATATGTTATATACTAGTGCTCTTGGAGTTAATAATTGTTGTTATCTTTTTCAAGACTGCATAATTTATAAATGGCACATAAACAAACATTTGTCACATTTATGATAATTTTCCTATATTTACAGTTGTCGTCATTGTCTTACTAGTTTGTTGTGGGAGATACGTGTCAAAGAAAAGGCACAGATCTAGAAACAAAAACAGGAATGATATTGAGATGTCCTCTGACATAATGTTTGAAGTTCCAAGAAATCCACCACAAATTTTGAAATCGGATTAGCTATTTTAATAATATAAATGTAATATGTGTGAGCAGAAGTCTATTATGGATTACTAAAGTAAAAAAATCATTGATTACAGGTGGCCATTGGCAGTATATTATTTTGTTGGCTCTACCTATAGTGCAAAGACGATTTCCCTTCATGTTTGATGTGGTTTTCTTCAACAATGTACCCCCCCAAGGGTGACTGGGGGATAGAAGTATGGTCACCATTGGTCTTCCTCCGACCGGCAGTAAAACCCGTGCTAAAGTGGGGCGTCCGTTTGGCTGTGCGGGATGTACAAATTTGCAGCCACGTCCGGTCAGAATGGGGACGTTAAATCCGATGCCTCGTGTAAAGAAAGTGCCACGTTCTTTGCACGTTAAGAACCCTTGCAACAACTGTTTGAGGGGTCCGTTAGTGACCTGTTGCAAGGCTAGATTTCTGTCCCTATCCAATAAACCCTCATTTCCCGTGGCAGTCTAAATTTCTCCGACCTTAATCCCTTAATCTATTACAGAACCTACCTATTGTATTTATTGTGAACTTGTTCTCGTCCTGAATATGCATGAAATATTTGCCACTGGACGTTAAGCAACCAACAATCAATCAATCAATCAACAATGTACACCGTCTACTTCATGTGCTACATCGTCAAAGACCTCCTACCCCACCAAGACTCGTTTATCAACCACAACCAACTCTAAGAAGATCTAACAGGGTACGGCGACGGAAACAGAGGTTAAGTTTGTAGTTTACATGCTTTAAAGTTAAACACTTTTTTTTATGCTTAATTCAACACTGATTCTCCTAAGTCTAAGAATCCGATAAATAAAGAGAAAATGTAATGCTTTATATCATTGTATTGTATCCATTTAATCCCATATATCTGATTCTTAGGTAGAAATAGTAGACAATGGTAACTTTTCAATATTGTTAAATTATAAGTGGAAAATGTAGTAATTACTTTTCATGCATAACATCCACCACCATCATCTTTATTCTGGTTCCATGCCCAGTGTTGTTGTCCAGGCATCTCACCAACTCGTATAACCACACAAGCTTTTCTGAATCCACCCAGTACAGCAGTCTAATTCCATCTTGGGTGCTGGAATGTGCTAAGTTGTGGTAAATTCCAGCAAGGTCTTTATCCAGACTTGCTGTCTGGTCTATTGAATTTAACGTGCTCTCAATCTCATGTTTAGTACTTATATCTCTATTACACAAATTGCATGGTGTGTGTATAACTGGTAGATCGTAAAGTGTGATCTTTTCATATCGCAACTTAAAATCCATGGTTGTAGTGTTTTGGAAAAGCCTTTGAAGAGCAATGTTCAGCAAACTTCTGTTACTTTGGATATACATTATTTTGAATGGAGGTTTCCCCTCCCAACTACATATATGTAAATCTGAATGTGTTAGTTTTCATTTGGAGGAGGAGTGTGAAATCAACTTTTCAAAGTTAGGGGGGTGGAGATCTGGATTGAAAAAATTAATAAAGCAGTCCAATCAAATTTGATTCCCATTTTCAGCATACATTTTTTGTACTTTGTTTCATTTCTTTTTTATATTTATCATGTTTATATATACAAGTCACTATTAAGCTTGTAGGTTGAAGTTGAAATATATTAAATAAAGTGTTTTTTAAACTGTTTGTGGAAGATATAAAGTGTCTTGTCTTTTTTTTTTTAATATGTTAAGATTTCAGCATAATTTTTATCCTTTCTTATTAGTTGATTAGTCAATACAAATGTTTTTAGTATTTTACATTAGACAATGGAAATATAATTTCACTGACAATAATTTTGCACTTCATACATTGTCTCAAATTTTATTGTTTTAGATCTGGGCATTGTTGATAAAAAAAAATTGAGATATATGTACAATGTATACAATGTATGTGTTTTATACACGTGTACTTGCTAGACTTATATGTTAATTTTGTCAGAGGATATAATGTAGCAGTAGTGATTTTATTACCAGTATTACTAGAAGATATTTGGTACTATTGTAATTTGTGATTTTCATATGAATGCGGCTTTAGTAATTACAAAAATCATTTAACTTTTCACAGAAGTCTGTTATGTTTACACCACAAAATATTTGGTTTCATTTTCGGTATAAGTATTATAATTGATTTTCATTGTGAAAAATATTTCATTCCAAAATACTCCAAATTCCCTGTGACTTAATTGTGTCAAATATTTTTAAATAATTTTTGTACTTACTGTTTTGAATGGTTATTATTTTTCCCTGTTTTAATTTTCTAATCAGTTTTATTTAAACTTAGTCATTCCTAACAATGTTTCTTTCAAAAGATGAAAAAGTTTTTACATTGTTATTTTTTAGTTGTGTAGAATAGTGTATTTTTTATCAAAGCAATGGTGCTGATCTTGATTTTACATAAAGCATTTGTTTACTTGCAATCAAATGCAGGTGGTAGTTTTTATATGAATGATGTTTATATCGTATCTGTGATTTTTAGTAGTTGTGTTACTGTTTTACATTTTTAATAACATTCAACTACTTCAACATACTCAATGTTTTTCCATAATTTTAAAACTTTGTGAATACAAAATATACTTTATTACTAGTCATTCATACTCGTTTTTATACTCATTGCATCATTTCAAAGCTGTCTCATGAAAATTTCTCCATCAGTTTGCTATACATTTCTTACAATACTGGTTTTTGTTGAATGTTTTTATGATAGTATTAATAATTTGTATATCTGTGATTTTTATTCTTGTAGTGATAGTTTACATTCAACTTTCATCTCCACTACCTCAAACTTTAATATATATAGTACCAAAATACACTCATAACTAGTCATTTACTTCTTTGCATATTACAAGCACTATTGATGAGAATTAAATGTTTGAAACATAATTTTTAGGGCATTAATGTGTGTCCTCATTTTTATACTCATTACTCATTGCATTGATAAAGTTAATAACTAGTCATTCATTGTTTGAATATTTGATTTCATTACATTTTTTTTCTAAAATTAAATCTTAAGTAAGTATGGTTTCCAACACTGGTCAAATACTGGTTTTTGTTGAATGATTTCGTATTTTGAATCATTGTAAATTTTTGATTTTTTTTTTTAAATTTTCATTCAAATTTTTTCCTGTTCAAAAATCTTAAATATTTTGAAAACAATAGTGTTCACTAAAAATGACATTCCAAATTTTCTTTATTCAAGTTATCATTCATTGTTTGAATATTTGATTTCCTTACATTATTACATTACGGGTCAATTTTTGTCATTAAATTTTAAATGTTCATCCCTTTTCTTTTTTTTCCATCTTCAAAATTTTTTATTGAAATTTTGTGCTCATTTTATATGAAATCATACCTTTGCATGTTTTAGATATCAAAATACTGTTTGTTAAAAATTTACATTATTTTTATTGAATAAAAATAAAAATTGTTATGAAAATGTCTTCATTTATTTCACAGGCTGTCTTTGAGGTTAATCACCTCATAATGGATATTTCACATGTTTTGATGTTTGGTATGTTGTAAGAAGTTAATGCTTATGCACCTGCTGAGTCAATTACCTACTTTTAATAACACAGATTTTCTAACCTGTTGTTTTGGTTTAAGTGACATATGGTGCAACATGTATATGTTCTTTGAAAAGAGAAGTCATCAAAAACATAATTTCATTTACATCCGTTTCAAAATGAACTTTTATTACTACAGGTGCCATCAGAACTGAAAATCCTGGGAAAACTTGTATGTTTCTTTGTCCTCTCAGACATTTGGAAAGATAATTATTCTAAATCAAAGTGTTTTCTGCAAACATGACAAAAAACAAAAAAAATCCTGCGAAAAAGGTTGAAATTTAGGTATCCGGTAACTGTTATCAGACATCTTGTATATTTGACCTTAACAAAATAGTCAGCCTCAGTCAAGGATTTAAAAGAAATCTATGGAAAGAAATGAATCACAGACAAAACTTTTACTTTTATTCAATATTTTTATGAAGTGTCACATTTAATGCATTATCTATGGACTTGTCTATAGCATTCTGAAGTCTCTCCAGATAGTTCCATTGGTTTAAGTTCAAATACAGTCCAATTGAAGTAGCTTGTCCTCTGTGAAACCTTCTTATGTCCAGTATAACTGATTCTTTATACCTGCACACCCTCACATATAGTTCGTTGTCTGGTAACTCAAATAACTGAATGCAATGAGTGTCATTCCAGGGAAAGTCTGACTTATCTAATAGCTGTATACATCCTGTTTTGTTTTTTCCTTTATCAATTTTATATAAAGAACTAGTCAAAACCAGTGTGGTACATATCAGGGATAACATGATGCAATTCCAGTAATTTTTATTACGCCTAGATGGAAATCGTAGTTGCGATATATCGAACTCAGACTGGATCTAATGCTTGCATACTGACTTGATGAGTTATCAGAAAGCATGTTAACTGTTGTGTGGTTGTTAAAATATATGACATAGTCAGACACAGTTACCCTTTTTTAAGCAATTCTATCAGAACGTCTCCATGACAGGGGGCTGGGTGACACCAACAACCTAGATTTTTACCTCTAAGTTCACTCAATGATTCAGACACTGTCTTGCCATTATAGACCGTGGTATCAGTTAATATGTATTTCCTATATAACTGAATACATTTATTGCGTCCATATGTCTTTACCTGGAAAGGATTCTGCCATTTACTACCTTCAACATAAGATGTCATACCTCTACCTATATACACCTTATTTGAATTGGACATCCAATGCTGCAAGTCTCTATACCCTAACTGATTCAATATTGACTTCTTTACACACACCAATGTCGCCATTTAAAATATATGGAAACTGCGCTTAATGATATTACATATCACTGAAACATTTTCAACCTATAACATTCCTTACATACTGAATGACGTCACACATTCCTAACCTACAACATTCCTTACATACTGAATGATGTCACACATTCCTAACCTATAACATTCCTTGCATACTGAAGGACGTCACACATTCCTTACATACTGAATGACGTCACACATTCCAGACATTGCAATGTATTGCAAGAAAACTATCTAGAATCCCCAATACAACACTACTTCTAAGTTTAAGACTTTTTAAGGCTTTTTTTTTTTAGTTTATGCATGAAATTGCAGTGAATTGTTTTTGACAGGACATGATTGCAATGATAAATATAAA